TCTCTTCATGAACATCATTATCCAGGTCTTGTTTCAGAGCCCTGTTTTCACAGGTCTTAATTCATGCCATAATTCCATGAAGCACTGCAAGTAGTCTTCATCAGATTCCTTATCTCTTTTTCTAATATTGATGATTGTGGCTCAGGTGTTCTCTGTTCAGCTCATGAAGTTCCTCAACTTGTTCTCTAGATAGATCTTGAGAACAGATCATCAGAATCTCTCATGATCATTCTCTAGATAGTTCAGTCAGTTCTTGACTTCAGTGTAATAGAGATCTATCATCATGTAGATGACAGCTTCTTCATCTTTCATATCACACAGCTGGACTTATAAGTCAATTTTAAATGTAAACTTGCAAAAGCTTTTATAGATTGTGATTTGATAGATGATCTTAAGTGATCATAGCTTGAGAAAGTTTCTTTTCAGTTCATGAGTGTCTCTGAAGATCATGTCTAGAGACTCAGTTCAAGGGTGTTTACAGACAGTAAGCATTTCTTATAGAAAAATAGCTTGATCTCACAGAAGATGCTCAAGAATGTTCTTCACTGAGATTGATTTATTCATGAGTTCAGAGAGTTCCTCTGTCACAGATGTAGAGAATGATGTTCTGTGAGTGATTAATAAGTTCTCTGAGACTTCTTTCATGAGAATTATTCATGATTCAGATGGCTGCTTCTGAGTGTCTGCAGTAGAGTTCACAGGGATTGAAGCATGTAAGTTTTTAGTTCTTTCAGTCATAATAGACAGTTGCTGACTGACTGAGCTTGAAATGTAAGAATAAATGCTCACAGATGATTATTCAGATGTTTGCAGCTTGACATGATATGTACTGTTAACTATTAGAAGTGTTCACAGTAGGAAGATAAATGTAGGAGTCAAATGTATAATAGCATTCAAGCTGAGTTATGAATAGTATTCGTGAACTCCAGTCTATATAGTTGTGTGTAGCCAAGGGCCGCTAGCCCTATTGATTACGCGAGAGATAGGAATAGGGGTAAAGAATCCGCGAGAAGCGGGATTTCTTACAACTTCATTCTCTGTATCTGTCTGACATTCTGACTGTCTATTCCTCCCTTTGAAATGTCATCCGCGATGTCACTGAGTAACAAAGAATTATATTCATAACAAGTATAGAAAGAAGATATCTTTAAGATTGTATTCTTTGCATTATTATATGTGAATTCAGTGATCAGAAGGTGTTTGAGTCAATCATTCTGATAATATGAATAGAACACTTGAAGATGCTGTTCTAGTGTCTGATTCTGGTGTTCAGTCTGGCCATTGATCTGTGAATGAAATGCAGTACTGAGAAGATGTCTTATTATAAGATGATAGCAAAAAGCTGATCAGTACTTGCTGATAAAGAGGGATTCTTGATCTGTTATCAATGATTTCAGAGCACTGTGATCATGAATAATGATATCTAAAAATAGATCAGTCAATTCAGAGGCTTTAATCTTTTTGTGAGTAGGAATATATCTGATCATCTTTGTAAAGCAGTTAACAATGACTAAAATTGAGTCATATTCTTTGACTCTTGTCAACTTTGACAGATCAACTATGAAATTCATCAATAGATTCTGTTATAAGCTCTTTGAAACAGGCAGTGACATCAACTCACTGTATTACTTATACTATGAGATCTTTATTCTTTGACAGATATTACAAGTCTCAATATACTCTTTGATATCTGTCTGAAGCTTGTTTCAAGTATATTTATATTTTAGAAGCTTCTCAGTCTTCTCTAACCTGAAGTACCTCATATGAGAATCATTATAATGAATTCTCAATAACTTCTGACACACTGCTCTGCTACAAGAGATGAAGACTGAATCATTCAGCAGTAGGAGTTCATATTCTCCTAGTTATCAGTGACTTGATTTCTTAGCAGTATTATCTCACTCAGAGCCTGTCTCTTTCAAGTTCAAACTGAACTCTTTCTTCTTCAACTTCTGAATTCAAGCTGCAGTAGAGACATTCTTCTTCTGTAACTTATCAATGAATTTCAAAAGTAGTCAGATTGAAAGATTGTAGACTGTTTCATTCTTTGTCAATTCAATGATTGCAAGATGTGACATGAGAAGCTCATGATCTTCAGTGTCAGTTCTCTGCAGAGACCTGGGTTCTCTTTCACCTTCTATACTGAGTCACACAGCTGTCTCTTCAGCATCATTTCTGAGCTTTAGAGAACTTCAACCCCCTGCAGTCAGCTTCTTCTGCAGTGATGACAGAGGTTCTTTTATAGAATTCTTCTTCACATCAATGATATTATAATCAGGCTGTTTAGACAGTGTATCAGTGAGATTAAGCTGATCTGAACAGTATCAGATATAGAAATCATACTCTGAAAGCAGCTTCACTCACCTGGCTTGACATTCTGTTAAGCTCTTTATTATCAAGAAGTAATGCAGATTTGCATAATCAGTGAGGACTTGCACTGAGTACTTACTATTCTGAAGATAATATTATCAGATCTTAAAGAATTTGACAATTACTAACATCTTCTGATCATGAGTATTATACCTTCTCTGCATAAGTGATAACTTCTTGAAGAAGAAAGTCACTGATCTTTATTCACAGTATCTTATAGACTCTGTGAAAAAGTCTTCTCTCACAGACAATTCATTGTCTGTTTTCTCAGAAATGATTATTCTCTGATTCTTTCAATGTTGAAAGGCCTTCAGTGTCAACTGTGAAAAGATTTCACAGACTTCATTCTCAGATGCATCAGTCTCACACTGACTGAGTAAGTCAGAATTAAAGTGATTCAGTATTATGATATCTGTGAAAGCTTGTTTCAATTCTGCAAACACCTGAGCAGTATCTTGAGTGAGAATAAACAGTTCTGTTTTTCTGTCTTTCACACTTCTCTTCAACAGATCTGTAAGAGAGGCAGTAATTCATAAATATGCATAGATGAATTATCTATAGAAATTCATAAATTCTAGAAACACCTGCACCTCACAGTACATTCACAGCACTGGCCAGTTCTCAATGACAGAGACCTGGCTCCTGTTCATTGAAATATCATTCATCTCAATAATATAATCTAAGAAATCAATCTCCTGTATGTAGAATGAGCATTTTTCAGTGTTTACATAGAGTTGATGCTGTCTCAAGTGACTCAACACTTCTTGAACATGAGTATCATGTTCTTTCTTCATTTTTAAGAAGATTAAAATGTTGTTCAGATATACTATGCAGAAGATGTTGACAAGGCCCTGCAGTGCCTCATTTATATAGATCTGGAAGATGACTGAAGTGTTACAAAGATCAAAAGATAAAACAAGATATTCAAAATTGCTGTACTTGGTATGAAAAGCTGTTTTTCAAACATTATCTTTGTTAACTCTGATTCTATGATAGATATTCTGTATATCAATCTTCAAGAACATCTTTGCTTCAGATAATCAATTGATCATCTCATCAATTAATAGTAATGAATAGCAATTCTTAATCATCATCTTATTAAGATCTCTGTAGTCTACACATAGACATAGTCTATCATTCTTCTTGAGCACAAAGAGTATAGACACCTCTGTCAGACTCTTTGATGAATATATTCAGTTCTTTGATTGCACTTCTTCAAGATATTTGCACAGAATATTTAACTTCTTTATAGACAAGTTGTAAAGAGACTCATACAGCACTGTTGTATCATCTTCAAGATAAATCTTATATCACATCTTGATATCAGAAAACTTCACTACTTCTCTTTTCAAAAAGACATTCTTAAAATCTGTAAAGAGACATCATATATATCTATCTTCAATGACAGATACTGCTGCTAATCTTGCAGTAAGAGTGATGACTTCTTTACCTGTTCTCAAGTCTCAATCACCTGCTATATAGTATATCAACTCAATCTTTTTTTTAAGATTCTTTCAATGAAACTCTTCAAATTTCTCTATTATCATCTCTTCATCAGTGAGACAGTATCATCACATCTGAGTGACTCAGTCAATGAGAGAATTGTTTTCTCTCAATCACAGAAGACCTAGAATGATGTTCTCATCTATGATATTAACTGTGTGAAGAAGCAGACTGCTCTTCTTGAAGATTTCTTCTGAGTCTGTGATCACACACTTTGCTTGAATTATGTCAAAACAGTGATATTTCATTTCATCTGTAAATTTCACATGATCTGACAGGTCTATCTTCTTTCAACTCTTCATCAAAGAAAAGAAATAGAATATGAAGTTGATATTCATCTCAGAGTCAAGTAGACATCTCACTGATATCTTCTCATTCAGAGTATGCATTGTAATTGTAACATGAACTCAGAGATATAAGAATTATCAATTCTTTTCTTTCTCTTCTTTATCTTTCACAGATACATTTGTCAGAAGAGGAGTTAACTTCAAGAAGATGTCTTCTTGATTTCTTCTCTTCTTCAGCTTCTTATAATCACTGACATAGTGATCACCAGCTCTGCAGTTGAAACAGAGATCTTTATCAAATCTTTTTTAGTATTTCTTCACAGTGAGTGAAGAATCAGAATACTTGAAATTCTTCTTTGCTTTCTCTGCACTGAAGCTGTTATGATGCTGTTTAGATCTCATCATTAATTACTTAGAAGAAGTCTTATTAATCTTTTTCTCAGAGAATTGATTATTCAAATAGATCTGAGAAGCCAGGTTGACAAGCTCAGTGTGATTAATTGATAAACTCTGATATTATAATATTATTGTTCACACCTTGTGAGTCAGCTTCATGAGATAAAGCTATATTTTTAATTAATTCAAATTATCAGTTAATTCCTCTCAATATTCTTCAAATCTTATATTGAAATTGAAAGAATTCTCATTATCTTATTGATATAATGAGTTGAACTGCTGTACTGCTGTGAAGCTGCAGTTGCAGTGATCTTCAATTTAATTAAGTAGAAAGTTCTTGAATTCTTTTCAAGTTATGACAGCATTGATATGCTCAAGCTCTCTCTTCTTGATGATTCAAGTAGTCACAGAGATGCCTTCAAGGAGGTTGACAGTGTATATTACTTATATCTCATGAGTATTATACTGGCTCAGATTAAGGCAGAATTTCTGTTCAAGAATACAGATAAAGCTGTGAAATTCAGACAAGATGTTTCTCTTGTATCTCAGAGAATCTCTAATCTTAATCTCTCTATCTTCATGATAGATGTAGATGTGTAGAGGCTGCAGCGGTGGCAGGACAGTTGAAGAGCTTATGTCAAAATGTGCAGCAGATTCAGGAATCTCAGATTCCTGCTGAGGTAGAGGTGTATGCACTCTAGGGAATAGTGTAGTGTTTTCTTCAGAGAATGAGGTTGAGTCAGTCCCAGTGTGAGTGCATGGGGCCATATCAGTCTGTTAGAGCTCAACTGATTCAAATGTGTAATCAGGTTGAGTGATTTGAATTGTAATATGATGGAACTGAAGTGATGACTAGTCAGCAGTGACATGTAGAAATAGTTGTTTAAGAAGTCATATAAGTGAGCTTGACTATCTTGCTTGAATAGTGAGCTTGTAGGCTACAGGGTTATTGTGAGAATATCACAGATATGATACTTAGTATACTAAGAAGATTGTATGAGACATGTAGTAACTCTTGTGTATATTTCAGTAGCAGTAAAACAAATCACTGGCTTCTTTAATGAGGAGTCAGCATCTAGCTATTCTATATAGACAATGAGTGAATACTCTCCTCTCATTCCATAAGTGAGAATAGCTGGAGTGATACCTCAGCGGCGCCTCATTGCCAAGGAAGAGTAATCTGCTGACCTTGTATAGAAGCAGGGTTCTCATATTCATCAATCGGATCTTCCTATGATATATCTGAATGATGTCATAGAGTGGTTGGAAACCGGTTTGGATGGGATGGAATCATCCGCATGGAAGTGATGGGCCGTGTGGAACCGCAACGGGGCCTTGGCGCGGCCGGGAGCGTGACATCTGTAAGAAATCCCGCTCCTCGCGGATTCTTTACCTCTATTTCTATCTCTCATGTAATCAGTAGGGCTAGCGGCCCTTGACTACACACAACTATATAGACTGAAGTTTGTGAATACTATTTATAACTCAGCTTGAATGCTATTATACATTTGATCTCTACATTTTATCTTTCTATCATGAATACTTCTAGTAGTTAACAGTACATATCATGTCAAGCTGCAAATATCTGAATAATCATCTGTGAGTACTTATTCTTACATTTCAAGCTCAGTCAGTCAGCAATCACCTATTATAACTGAAAGAACTAGAAACTTGTATACTTCAATCTCTGTGAACTCTACTAGAGACACTCAGAAGCAGTTATCTGAACTATGAATAATTCTTATAAAAGAAGTCTCAGAGAACTTACTGATCACTCACAGAACATCATTCTCTGTATCTGTGACAGAGAAACTCTTTGAACTCATGAACAAATTAATCTTAGTGAAGAACATTCTTGAGCATCTTTCACAGAATCAAGCTATTTTTCTACAAGAAATGCTTGCTGCCTGCAAATAGACTGACCGCCAGAATTATGAATTTCATAATTGATTTCATTTGATCTGATCTCATACATTTCTTAGTGTGAATCCCGCTGAGACTGACTATTAAAAAAACATGTAAAGTAACTATATATCAGATCTTAAAATGAAACCATGACTTGAAAAAAATAAGAAAGTGATTTTATTTGATTTCATTTAGTTTCATTCTTAGCATAAAGTTACTATTTTTAAACATTTTAAGGTTTTTTTTAGACTATTTTTAATTTTTTAAAAAGTAACACTTTTTGATAACACTCAAATGAGATTTAAAGTCATTTAAAGCAATAAAAATAATTTAAATTGAGAAGTGAAAATCATGATCTCATTTGAAAAATGTGATAAGAGTAGACAGTAAGTTTCACTGAGATAGTATGAAACTACTATCTAATGTTAATACTGTGTAATGAGATCAGTTAAATTGATAATAAGACTATTAAAAAATCTGATTCTGATCTCAGACACGGTCACATAGTCAGTCTACCTGTAAACACTCTTGAACTAAGTCTCTAGACATGATCTTCAGAGACATCTATGAACTGAAAAGAAACTTTCTTAAGTTATAATCACTTAAGATCACTTATTAAACTACAATCTATAAAAGCTTTTATAAGTTTGTATTTGAAATTGACTCATAAGCCTGACTGTGTGATATGAAAGATGAAGAAGCTGTTATCTATATAATAACAGGCCTCTATTACACTGAAGTCAAGAACTGACTGAATTATTTAGAGAATGATTATGAGAGATTCTACTGATCTATTCTTAAGACCTATCTAGAGAATAAGTTAAGAGACTCTGTAAGCTGAACAGAGAACATCTGAGCTGTGATCATTAATATTAGAAAAAGAGGTGAGAAATCTGATGAAAACTACTCACAGCACTTTATGAAATTATAATATGAATTAAAATCTGTGAAAATAGAGCTCTGAAACAAGATCTGAATAATGATATTTATAAAGAGACTGAATAAAGACATGTAGAACAAGCTCATTAAGTAAGACTCTAAGCTCTTGACTCTGAAGAAACTGATAACTCTCATTCACTGCTTGCAGATCACTGTAAGAGTCACAGATCTGTTAAGAGTAGATTACTGATTAGCTCTGTAAGAGCCAGAACAATAGAGAACAGATTTATCAGAAAAAGATGACAAGATACAGAGAGATTTATATCTGACTATTAAGTAGAGAGAAAGAGCTTTACAAGCTTCTGTGAATAGAGTATATAACAGAGAGATCAAGAAAAAGAGACTCTACTTTATCTATTCTAAATCAGAATATCTCTGTGCAAACTGTCTGAATAAATTAAAATAGAAATTTAAAGAGTTATAGACAGAGTCAATAACAGTCTTCTTAAGAGTCTTAAAGCTGATATCTGAATCTGTTACTTCTCTGATGAAAATACTTACTTATAAGAAGAGACTGTACTATAATACTGCTGCTCTGCAAGTATGAAAGGTATTAATGAACTCAGAATCTCAGATCACTGTAGTGTCTCTAAAGCTTGTAAAGTAAATAAGCTGAAGAATGAAAACTGAGAATCTGCTCTTATAATAAGCAGAGTGTGAGAACTCAGATCTAAGAGCTGAGAGACTTATAAGAATTATCTTTGAATTACAAGATGTCTCTGAAATCTGAAGAAGATTTATAGAAACTGTAATTATTATAGATATCATAGATGATATGTACTTAAAACTTGTATAACTTTAAAGATATAATCTGTATATAGCTGTCTGCAAGTCAGGTTTATACTTCTGATCAGTGTTAGCAGACTTACTTATAAAGATAGAATCAGTTAATACTGTAGAGTTAATTAGAGAAGACAAGCTCATCTATATAATAACTTTACAAGTATCTGAGAACCTTGTGATTATGAAAACTGAGCTTCAGATTAGACTGGCCGCTGGGATCATGAATTTCACATTTAGTTTCATTTGATCTGATCTCATACATTTCTTGGCGTGAATCCCGCTGAGACTGGCTATCAAAAAAACAGGTAAAGTGACTATATATCAAATCTTAAAATGAAATCATGACTTGAAAAAAATGAGAAAGTGATCTCATTTGATCTCATTTAGTCTCATTCTTAGCATAAAGTTACTATTTTTAGACATTTTAAGGTTTTTTTAGACTATTTTTAATTTTTTAAAAAGTAACGCTTTTTGATAACGCTCAAATGAGATTTAAAGTCATTTAAAGCAATAAAAATAATTTAAATTGAGAAGTGGAAATCATGGTCTCATTTGGAAAATGTGATAAGAGTAGACAGTAAGTCTCACTGAGACAGTATGAGACTACTATCTAATGTTAAAACCGTGTAATGGAATCAGTCAAATTGATAATGAGACTATCAAAAAATCTAGTCCTGGTCTCAGACACAGTCACATGATCAGTCTACTTCAGATATTAGAGAAATACTGAGATCTCACAGAGATGTTTAACTCAGAAAAGATAGCTAAGCTTTCTTCTTACTATGAGAAGAATTTGATAATAGATTTGATAGAAGAGTAGAAACTCTTCTGAGAATCAATCTATAAGCTCTCTCATTATGAAACAGAGATCTTGTAAATCTATATAAAGAAGAATCTGAAGAATGACTTTATCTGATCTTCACAGGTCTCTGCAGAAGTCTCTGTGATATTTATAAAGAAGAAGAATGAAGATCTCAGATTGTATGTAGATTATTATAATCTGAACTTTAAAATAATAAAGAGCTACTACTCTCTGTCTCTGATTGAGAATGTAATTAACTGTCTCACAGAAGCTGTCATATTCACATAACTGAATATAATCAATATATATACATAACTGTGAATACAGTCTGAGAATGAATGAAAGACTGTCTTTAGAACTGCACTGAAATTATTTGAATATCTAGTAATATCTTTTAATCTGACTAATGTTTCTGCAGCATTTCAGTCTTTCATTAATAAAATACTTTATATATATCTAAATGTCTTTATAGTAATATATCTGAATAATGTGATAATATACTCTGTGAAGAAGAAAGAACACACTGAGTATATATAAAGTATATTGAAGATCTTAGATAAGACAGAACTGTATATTAAGCTTATAAAGTACAACTTCAGTATCTATTAAATTAATTTTCTAGAATATGTAATCACTGCAGATAATATTCAGATGAAATCTTCACAGATTAAGACTATTCTATTATAACTGAAGCTAACTAATATTTATAAGATTCAGATCTTTCTGAGCTTTGTGAATTTCTATAGATAATTTATCTTTGCATTCATAAGAATCTTCTTGACTCTTACAGACATACTGAAGAATGAAAATAAGAAGAAGTTATTCTGTGAACAGAGAATAAAAAGATTATTAAGAAGAGAGAACTGTGAGAATCTTCTTACTCTAGAAGCTTACAAAGTCTTTATAAGATTAAAACAGATATTCATAGATACAGTGATACTATTTCACTTTGATTTCTTACTCTTAATCAGATTAAAGACAGATGTCTTCTTTTTTATAATTTCAGAAATAGTCTTATAACTACAGTTAAATAAGAACTGAGTTTCAGTGATCTTTTTCTCATGAAAGATATAACTCACAGAGATTAACTATAGCATTTATAATCAGAAGCTTCTTATAATAGTGAAATTCTTCTATTACTGATATCACTACTTTGAGAATCTTATAACAGTGATTACTATCAGAACTGATTATAACAGCTTATAATAGTTTACTTTAATTAAGAAACTCTTGTAATGATAGATTTACTGAGCTCAGAGACTGAGTGAGTTCTGATTTAAGATAGAATATATTAAGAGAATTAAGAACTCAGCAGACAGACTCTCTCACAGATCAGACTATATTAAGAAGATCAGAGTGACAGACACAGAGAGACTAGAGAAGATAGAAAAGCTTTGTAAGATGTTTAGACTGAGTGTTATAAAGAGATTAACTAAAGAGTCTCTCAATTTCTTATAAAAGAAGAGAGAGAAGAGAGAGAAGAAGTCTGTATAACTACTCTCTATAATACTGAGAGTTAATACTCTGAGAATCTCTGTCAGAATTCTTGAAGAGAGTATCTATAATCTGAAGAGTTTGTAAGCTTTGAGAAGCACTGTGAAAAACCTGATATAAGAAGAAACAGAGTATAAGTCTTTATAAAATCTTCTATTCAGATTGTCTGAACTGTAACTGAAGAATGAATATACTCAGTATATTTGAAAACTGCTTACAGCAGAAATTAATCCTGCAGAAATAAAGAATTAAAGAGACTTAAATAGTCTCTTATGAAAAGAGAACTGAATTTATATATCTGTGAATAAGTTTCTATGTGTAGAACTTATTAAAAGATATTATAACTCTTCTCTAGCAGATCATTTTACAGATACTAGAACTCATGAGTTACTTATAAGAAAATACTTCTAACTGAAGATATAAGAACTTGTAAAGAAGATAGTGAATTCTTATACTATTTATCAGAGTTCATGAGTAGTGTGATTCAGACTATATAAAGAACTTACTTCTCTATTCATCTCATAGAAATCTTGAAAACAGCTAGAAATGAATACTCTTATAAGCCTCTCTGAAAGTAAGAACATATATAATACCTGCTTTGACAGTGTACTGATAATAGTGAATTACTTTATTAAGATAGCACACTTTATACTCATCTGTAAGAACTTGAAGTTAAAGAATTTAACTCATATCTTTATCTGCAATGTAATCTGATTGCATGAATTATCTGTGAATATTATCTCAGATAGAGATTTAATCTTCACAGAAGAGTTCTAATCTAATCTGATAACTATACTGAAGATCTTATGAGATCTAAATTACAGCTTTTCATTAATAGACAGATGATCAGATAGAATATCTAATAAGTATATTAAAACAGTATCTGTGATACTTTGTCAATTATAATTAGAATGACTGAATGTATTGATTATCACTTATGAAGTTTGTATACAACAACTCAAAGTATGTCAGTATAGATAAAACTCTCTTTGAGATACTCACTGAGACTTATTCACAGATAATCTTGATGAATCTGTAAGAGTATACTATAGAGTGTAATAATATCTGTGAATAAGCTGAGAGAATTCAGCAGATCTGAGAGAAAGTCTGTGAATTCTTAAGAAAGACTCAAGAGTATCAGAAGAGATACTATAACTTCAAGTATATTATAAAGAGTTTCAAGAAAGATGATAGAGTCTAACTAAGTTTAGAAAACATTATTATATAAAGATCTAGTAAGAAGCTGAATCTCTTACAGACAGAGTCTTATAAGATTGTAAAGAAAGTTAGTTTACAGTTCTACAGATTAAAACTATCATCTGAGTTACAGATATACAATGTTTTTCATATCTCTTTACTCTGTGAATATAAGAAATTCTTAGAAGAGAACTCTGTGACTCATCACTCTGTCTATAAAGTATTAGAGAGTGAAAGAGAATATCAGATTAAAGAGATTATTAACTTAGAAAAGTGAGATTGTGAGCTCTGATTCAAGATTCAGTGATAAGAGTATTCTGACAAGATGAATGAGTTCACTTAAGAATTATTCAGACAGATAAGATATCTGTAAAAGCTGAGACATGACTTTTATACTATAAATTCTGATCAGTCAGAATAATGTGATCTTCACTAAAAACCTGATTATAATAAAGATATTAACACTGTTATTTACAAATTCTAGTCTATAAAATGATGAGTTTCTACTGAGATGAATAGTCTACAGTGTATATAAGAGAAGAAGAAATCATATTCTTATTAAAGCTAGAAAATAAGAAAATAAACAGAGCTGTGAACATAATTTAGAGATTAATAAAGAAAAAATAAAGAAAACTCACACTTATATTCTCAATATCTGTGACACTTAATTCTCTTATAACTATTAATTTTTCTCTTCAAAGAAGTAGAGAGTATTATATCTGCAGTACAGATAATTGTTACATTTGATATAAAGGCTGTTAGAAATGCACAGACTTCAGAGAAGCTGAATATCAGAGTATATATAGTTATAACAGAGTCTTGAGAGCTGACTGTCTGTGTATATAATCAGATATTTCTTACAAAGCTGTATCTGTTTTCTCAGTTATACTGAAGTATTCAGTCTGAAAATAATTAAGATATGAAGAGAGAGCTCATCTGTTCAGATTAACTTCTATTATAAATTCATAATATTTGTATTATCTTAATTATCTGAATTTTACAGATATCTGAGAACTCATCTCTTATTAATAATGAGATTGCAGAAATGCACTGCAGTGTGAGAATTATTAATAAGAAATCTAGATATATTTACATATATCTGATCAGAGATTGTATGAGCAGAGAGAAGATGATTGTAGACTTATGAGACTGTAGAAGATACTGATAATACTGAGAGCTTTATAAGAACTGTTAACTAGAGTCTGTAAGAAATTACTTATAAGAAGACTTACAGCAAAGAGAGAAACTGTACTGCTTAAAGTCAGAAACTGATCTGAGAAAGACACAGAGTTAGCTGCTGATCTGAAGATCAGATGCAGTGATAAGACTGAGAGAAGTAAAGATATAATTGTAAGTGACAGTGTTCCTGCTTTATCAGCTGATAAAAAGTGATCAGAGAAGTCATGAAAATACTTATAAGAAGCTCAGTGACAGTCAGACATTGTTTATAAAGATATTAAAATTGAAAAAATTTTTATTCTTGAGAAGTTCTTGAATTAATATACAGATATTATCAGAAACACTCTCTCTCTATTATCTGAGTAAAAACACTTCATAAATGAATGAGAATACTCACAGTTATAGAAATAAGAGCTGTTACAGAAAAAGAGAAAAGAAGATGAGATTTCACAGACAGATCTGAGATATTTATACTACTTTAAAGAGATTTGTTTACACTGTGAATGATTCTGTAGAACAGTTAGATTACTCTAGTAAATAAAAGTAATTATGAATTACAGGTCTGAATCTCTCTATATAACTATAAAGAGTGATTGCAGACTGCAGACATCTTGATTCTATAATTCTACAGAGTTGATAAAAGAATGGAAAATTTCTCACAATTCTACAGTATCAAAGAACAACAATTTATAAGAATGAGTGAAAGATTAACTTATAAATACTTCTCTTTAATGAAAGTGATCTCACAGAGAGTGATTTATCTGTGAGATGAATCTGTGTGATAATTATATAAGAATTTTATGAAAATAATTAAGAGTTAACTGAAACTCTTCTATATAAAAGATATGAAATGAATCTGTGTGATAGTTAGAGAAGAATCTGTAGATTATAGAGAATCTTATGAAATAAAAAACTGAGTGACAGACTCTTTTCTCTTTATAATAACAAGGAATTTTTCCTCACTGAGATTTTTTATAGATATGAAGAATTTTTAGTGAGTATCACTGCAGTGCTGAGCTGATTCTATAAAGTTACTCAGTGAAAGACTTCACAGATGAAGTCTTAGAGAGGGAGAAGTATATAAGAAATCTCACTTCTTATGAATTCTTTACTTCTATTTCTATCTCTTGTGTAATTAATAGAGCTAGCAGCTCTTGACTACATATAACTATATAGACTGAAGTTTGTGAATACTATTTACAACTCAGCTTAAATACTATTATATATTTAATCTCTATATTTTATCTTTCTATCATGAATACTTCTAGTAGTTAATAGTACATATCACGCCAAGCTGTAAACACCGGAATAATCGCCTGCGAGTACTTATTCTTACATTCTCACAGTTCTCTCTTCTTAACAATCTTTTTATTCTCTATTTATAGAATGATTTCTTCTTATTTTCATTCTTCAGTATGTCTGTAAGAGTTAAGAAGATTCTTATAAATACAAAGATAAATTATCTATAGAAATTCACAAAGCTCAGAAAGATCTGAATTTTATAAATACTAGTTAACTTTAGCTATAATAGAATAGTCTCAATCTGTGAAGATTTCATCTGAATATCATCTGTAATAATTACATATTCTAGGAAATTAATCTGATAAACACTGAAGTTATACTTTATAAGCTTAATATACAGTTCTGTCTTATCTAAGGTCTTTAATATACTTTATACATACTCAGTGTGTTCTTTTTTCTTCACAGAGTACATCATTATATCATTCAGATATATTATTATAAAGACATTCAGATATATATAAAGTGTTTTATTGATAAAAGACTGAAATATCATAGAGATATTAGTCAGATTAAAAGATATCACTAGATATTTAAACAATCTCAGTACAGTTTTAAAGACAGTCTTTTATTTATTCTCAGACTGTATTCACAGCTATGTATATATATTAATTATATTCAGTTATATGAATATAACAGCTTCTGTGAGACAGTTAATTATATTCTCAATCAGAGATAGAGAGTAGTAGCTCTTTATTATCTTGAAGTTTAGATTATAATAGTCTATATATAATCTGAGATCTTTATTCTTCTTCTTTATAAATATCACAGAGACTTCTGTGAAGATCTGTGAAGATTAGATAAAGTTATTCTTCAGATTCTTCTTTACATAGTTCTGCAAGATCTCTGTCTTATAATAAGAGAGCTTATAGATTGATTCTCAGAAGAGTTTCTACTCTTCTATTAAATCTATTATCAGATTCTGCCAGCGTGGCCCAGTTGGTAAGACTGGTAACCAAGGCCGCACACATTAGAGGTGCGTGGGTTCGAATCCCACCGCTGGCATCTGCCACTTCTTACCCATGAAAGCCCCCATGTAATAGGGGCTGAGTCTAATTAGTAAGGCTTGGTGTGGGGTAGAACTCCCTACTGCAAGCCAAGCCACTAGTTAAGCGAGATCCTGCGAACACTCACCAGGGCCGGCATGGAGTGCCAATGTCCCAACTATTCTACTGTGCACCCGTCAAGGTTCTAACAATATAGAGCCAAGCCTAATATAGTGGTTATACACTACTTAAGCGAGTCCCTAACTAGGGCCGTCATCAGAGCCTAGCTCCCCCCCAAATACAGGGAATGATTTTGAAAACCACCTGACTAGCAGGCCTAGACGCACATCTAGGCTCTAGACAGGACACCCTGATAGGCTCGAGCCTGCAAGCTCACTGCCAAGCCCTAATACTGGCAGGGAGAACTGCAGTCATCAAGCCTATGATTAGTCCCTAACACAGGGCGAGGCCACAATGGCTGATTGGTAGGCCTATGGGCATCTAATGGGGCCGAGATCAGCAACCGGAAGCTTGGTGTGTACACCACCAAGTGGGCGGTGGCAGCCACTAACTAACACCCCTGGAAATTAGTGGCTGGCCCGAGAGGACAGACGCGGTGATCAGTTAATTATAGAGGGTTAAATGTAATTAGCTTAAGATGCATCCTGCGGGTGGCTAGCACCCGTAGTCAAAAGAGAAGAACATCAAAGCTGATAATTCATCTGCACTGGGTTCCTGCTCACATGAATATTCATGATAATGAATTGACTGATTCAGCTGTAAAAAAGAGTGCAGAATTAAGCAGATCTATTCAAAAAATTATATTCTGATCTTTTATAAAGAGAAAAATAAAAGAATCTTATTTAGATAAGTGAAATGAAAGCTGGCAGAAACAAAAGAAGAGTATACATTATTCAAGATTTAAAACAAAACTCAAGTGAAAATCTTGTTTAATTAAATATAAAAAGGAAATATTCTCATCTATAATACAGCTGAAACTAGAATATGACTATTTCAAATCTTATATACAAAGATTTAATGATAGATTTGACTCAATAGAATGCTCATTCTGCAATACAAATGAGAATTCTGAGTATATTGTAATGCACTGTGCATTATACAATGATCTCAGAGTCAGATTGAAAGAGAAGTATAATCTAAATCAATTAAATATGAGATTCTTATTCTCAACTGAGACAGGAATTAAATACTTAATAGACTTTCTATCAGAAACTCAAGCAGCTATAAGAAAATGACTAAATTCAGAATTATCTGAGTATGAAGAGGAGAAAATTAATCAGATATAGTCTGTTAAAACAGCTATACACTCTCTTTTAATAATTTGTTTTGTTATAGTCTCTCTTTACTTTATCTTTTTCTTTATCTTTTTCTTTCAATTTCTTTCTATCTATTTATTTAATGTGTCTATCTTTGAGACTGTGTTCTTTTTCTCTTTTCTTTTGTCATGATATTGTCAAATGATTTCAAAGTATCAAAAGATGTTAAAACACTGCAATTTGTAAACAGTTTTTGTATTCTGAGCTGGAATTTTCTGATTTTGCATATCTGAAATTGATGAATGTATAATAGTTAACTTTACAGACATAGAAAAAACCCTGAGAACTAAAGTTCTCAGGTAGATGTCATAGTCTCTGACTGCATACATCTATAATTGAAGAATAATAATAATAATAATAATATCAGATTCTTCTTACAGTGAGAAGAAAGCTTAGCTATTTTTACTGAGTTAAATATCTCTGTAAGATCTTAGTATTTCTCTGATATCTGAAGCTCAGTTTTCATGACTGCAAGATTCTCAGACACTTACAAAGTTATTATATAAATAAGCTTATCTTCTCTAATTAACTCTATAGTATTAACTGATTCTATCTCTGTGAGTAAGTCTGTCAACACTGATTAGAAGTATAAACCTGACTTATGAATAGCTATGTACAGATTGTGTCTTTGAAGTCATACAAGTTTTAAGTACATATCATCTATAATATCTATAATAATCACAGTTTCTGTAAATCTTCTTCAGGTTTCAGAGAGATCTTATAATTCAAAGATAACTCTTATAAGTTTCTCAGCTCTCAGATCTGAGTTCTCACACTCTACTTGTTATAAGAGTAGATTCTCAGTTTTCATCTTTCAGCTTATTCACTCTATAAGCTTTAGAAACACTACAGTGATCTGAAATTCTGAGTTCATTAATACTTTTCATATTTATAGAGTAGTAATACTGTGATATAATCTCTCTCTATAAGTAAGTATTTTTATTGAGAGAGTAATAGATTCAGATGTCAGCTTCAAGACTCTTAAGAAAGCTGTTACTAACTCTGTCTATAACTTCTTAAATTTCTATTTTGATTTATCTGAACAGTTTGTATAAAGATGTTCTGATTTAGAATAGATAAAGCAGAGTCTCTTTTTCTTAATCTCTCTATTATACATTCTATTTATAAAAGCTTGTGAAGCTCTCTCTCTCTGCTTAGTAGTCAGACATGAATCTCTCTATATCTTATCATCTTTTTCTGATAAATCTATTCTCTGTTATTCTGACTCTTATAGAGTCAGTCAGTGATCTGCTCTTCATAGATCTGTGACTCTCACAGTAATCTGTAAGTGATGAATGAGAGTTATCAGTTTCTTCAGAGTTAAGAGCTTAGAGTCTTACTTAATAAGCTTGTTCTGCATGTCTTTATTCAGTCTCTTTATAAACATTATTATTCAGATCTTGTTTCAGAGCTCTGTTTTCACAGATCTTAATTTATATTATAATTTCATAAAGTACTGTAAGTAGTCTTTATCAGATTTTTCATCTTTTTTTCTAATATTAATAATTACAGTTCAGATGTTCTCTGTTCAGCTTACAGAGTCTCTTAACTTATTCTCTAAATAAGTCTTAAGATCAGATCAGCAGAATCTCTTATAATTATTTTCTAGATAATTTAATCAGTTCTTAACTTCAGTGTAATAGAGATCTATTATTATATAGATAACAGCTTCTTCATCTTTTATATTACATAGCTGAACTTATGAGTCAATTTTAAATACAAACTTGTAAAAGCTTTTATAGATTATGATTTGATAAGTAGTCTTAAGTGATCATAGCTTAAGAAAGTTTCTTTTCAGTTTATAAGTATCTCTGAAGATTATTGTCACGCTCCCGGCCGCGCCAAGGCCCCGTTGCGGTTCCACACGGCCCATCGCTTCCATGCGGATGATTCCATCCCGTTCAAACCGGTTTCCAACCACCCTATGACATCATTCAGATGTATCATAGGAAGATCCGATTGATGGATATGAGAACCCCACTTCTATACAAGGTCAGCAGATTACTCTTCCTTGGCAATGAGGCGCCGCTGAGGTATCGCTCCAGCTATTCTCACTCATAGAATGAGAGGAGGGTATTCACTTATTATCTATATAGAATAGCTAGATGCTGACTCCTCATCAAAGAAGCCAGTGATTTGTTTTTCTTCTACTGAAATATATATAAGAGTTACTGCATGCCTCATACAATCTTCTTAGTATACTAAGTATCATATCTGTGATATTCTCACAATAACCTTGTAACCTATGAGCTCACTATTCAAGCAAGATAGTCAAGCCCACTCATACAGCTTCTCAAATAACTACTTCTATATAACACTGCTGACTAGTCATCACTTCAGTTCTGTCACATTACAATTCAAATTGCTTGATCTGATTATAAGTTTGAATCAGTTGAGCTCTAACAGACTGATATGGCCCCACACACCCGCACTGGGACTGACCTGACCTCACCCTCTGGGGGAAACACTACACCATTCTCTAGAGTGTATACACCTCTACCTCAGCAGGAATCTGAGATTCCTGAACCTACTGTGCATTTTGACATGAGCTCTTCAACCACTCTGCCACCGCTGCAGCCTCTACACACCTACATCTATCATGGAGATAGAGAGATTAAGATCAGAGATTCACTGAGATACAAGGGAAACATCTTGTCTGAATTCCACAGCTTTATCTGTACTCTTGAATGAAAATTCCACCTTAATCTGAGCCAGTATAATACTCACAAGATACAAGTAATATACACTGTCAACCTCCTTGAAGACATCTCTGTGACTACTTAGGCCATCAAGAAGAGAGAGCTTGAGTGTATCAATGCTGTCATGACTTAAGAAGAATTCAAGAACTTTCTACTGAATCAAATTGAAGATCACTGCAACTGCGGCTTCACAGCAGTGCAGTGATTCAACTCATTATATTAATAAGATAATGAAAATCCTTCTGATTTCAATGCAAGATTTGAAGAATATTGAGAGAAATTAGCTGATGATTTGAATCAATTAAAAACACAGCTTTATCTCATGAAGCTGACTCACAAAGTGCAGACAATGATATCACAGTATCAGAGTTCATCAACTAATCACACTGAGCTTGTCAACCTGGCTTCTCAGATCTATTTGAATAATCAATTCTCTGAGAAAAAGGTCAACAAGACCTCTTCTAAGCAATCAACAACAGAATCTAAATAATACTATGACAGCTTCAGTGTGAAGAAAGTAAAGAAGAATTTCAAGTGTTCTGATTCTTCACTCACTGTGAAGAAACATTAAAAAAGATTTGACAAAGATCTCTGTTTCAACTGCAGAGCTGGTGATCACTATGTCAGTGATTGTAAGAAGCTGAAGAAGGGAAGGAACTGAGAAGACATCTTCTCAAAGTTGACTCCTCTTCTGGCAAATGTATCCGCGGAAGATAAAGAAGAGAAAGAAAAGAATTGACAATTCTCATGTCTCTGAGTTCATGTTACAATCACAATGCATACTCTGAATGAGAAGATATCAGTGAGATGTCTACTCAACTCTGAGATGAATGTCAACTTCATATTCTATTCCTTTTCTTTGATGAAGGGTTGAAAGAAGATAGGTCTGTCAGATCATGTGAAATTTACAGATGAAATGAAATGCCACTGTTTTGACATAATTTAAGCAAAGTGTGTGATCACAGACTCAGAAGAAACCTTTAAGAAGAGCAGTCTGCTCCTTCACACAGTCAATATCATAGATGAGAATGTCATTCTAGGTCTTTCATAATTGAGAGAAAACAATCCTCTCATTGACTGAGTCATTCAGGTGTGGCAGTACTGCCTCACTGATGAAGAGGCAGTGATAGAGAAATCTGAAGAGTTTCATCAGAAGAATCTTGAGAAAAAGATTGAGTTGATATACTGTGTAGCAGGTGATTGAGACTTGAAAACAGATGAAGAAGCTATCATTCTCACTGCAAGATTAGCAGTAGTATCTGTCATTGAAGATGAATGTATACAATGTCTCTTTACAGATTTTAAGAATGTCTTTTTGAAAAGGAAAGCAGTGAAGTTTTCTAACATCAAGGTGTGACATAAGATTCACCTTGAGGACAGTGTAATGACACTGTACAGGCCTCTTTACAACTTGTCTGTAAAGAAGTTGAATGTTCTGCACAAATATCTTGAAGAAGCATAATCAAAGAACTGGATATATTCATCAAAGAGTCCAGCAGGGGCGCCTATACTCTTTATGCTCAAGAAGAATGATAGGCTACGCCTATGCATAGACTACAGAGGCCTTAATAAGATGACAGTTAAGAATTGCTATTCATTACTGTTAATTGATGAGATGATTGATCAATTATCTGAAGCAAAGGTATTCTTGAAGATTGATATACAGAATGTCTATTATAGAATCAGAGTTAACAAAGATAATGTTTGAAAAATGGCTTTTTATATCAAGTACAGCAATTTTGAATATCTTGTTTTATCTTTTGATCTTTGTAACACTTCAGCCATCTTCCAGACCTATATAAATGAGGTGCTGCAGGGCCTTGTTGATATCTCCTGCATAGTATACCTGAACAACATTTTAATCTTCTTGAAATCAGAGAAAGAACATGATATTCATATTTGAGAAGTGTTGAGTCACTTGAGACAGTATCAACTCTATATAAACACTGAAAAATGCTCATTCTACATGCAGGAGATTGATTTCTTAGGTTATATTGTTGAGGTGAATGACATTTCAATGGACAGGAGCCGGGTCTCTGTCATTGAGAACTGGCCAGCACTGCAGATGTACTGTGAGATACAGGTGTTTCTAGGATTTGTGAATTTCTACAGATGATTCATCTATGCATATTCACAGATTACTGCCCCCCTTACAGATCTGTTGAAGAGAAGTGTGAAAGGCAGGAAAATGAGACTGTTTATCCTCACTCAAGACACCATGCAGGTGTTTGTGGAATTAAAACAAGCTTTCACAGATGTCACAATACTGAATCATTTTAATCTCAACTTATTCAGTCAGTGTGAGACTGATGCATCTGAGAATGAGATCTGTGAAATCTTTTCACAGTTGACACTGAAGGCCTTTCAATGTTGAAAGAATCAGAGAATAATCATTTCTGAGAAAACAGGTAATGAATTGTCTGTGAGAGAAGACTTTTTCATGAAGTCTACAAGACACTGTGAATGAAGATCAGTGATCTTCTTCTTCAAGAAGTTATTACTCATGCAGAGAAGGTATGATACTCATGATCAGAAGATGTTAGCAATTGTCAAATTCTTTAAGATCTGATGACATTATCTTCAGAACAGTAAGTACTCAGTGTAAGTTCTCACTAATCATGTAAATCTGTGTTACTTCTTGACAACAAAGAGCTTGACAGAATGTCAAGCCAGGTGAATGAAGCTGCTTTCAGAGTATGATTTCTATATCTGATACTGTTCAGATCGGCTTAATCCCGCTGATGTGCTGTCTAGACGGCCTGATTATAGTATTATTGATGTAGAGAAGAATCCTATAAAAGGACCTCTGCCATCACTGCAGAAGAAGCTGGCTGCAGGGGATTGGAATTCTCTAAAGCTTGAGAACAGTGCCGGAGAGGCAGCTGCGCGACCCAGTATAGAAGGTGGAAGAGAACCTGAGTCTCTGCAGAGGACTGACACTGAAGATTATAAGCTTCTTGTATCATGTCTTGCAATCATTGAATTGACAAAGGATGAAACAGTCTACAATCTTTCAATCTGACTACTTTTGAAATTCATTGATAAGTTACAGAAGAGGGACATCTCTACTGCAGCTCAAATTCAAAAGTTGAAGAAGAAAGAATTCAGTTTAAACTTGAAAGAGACAGGCCCTGGGCGGGATGATGCTGCTAAGAAATCAAGTCACTGATAACTAGAAGAATGTGGACTTCTACTACTGAATGATTCAGTCTTCATCCCTTGTAGCAGAGTGATGTGCCAGAAGTTATTAAGGATTCATCATAATGATCCTCATGCAGAGCACTTCAGGTTAGAGAAGACTGAGAAGCTTTTAAAACATAAATATATTTGAAACAAGCTCTGAGCAGATGTCAAAGAGTATGTTGAAACTTGTGATATCTATCAAAGAATAAAGATCCTGTGATACAAGCAATACAGTGAGTTAGCATCACTGTCTGTTTCAAAGAACTCATGACAGAATCTATTGATGAATTTCATAGTTGATCTGCTGAAGTCAACAAGAGTTAAAGAATATAACTCAATTTTAATTATTATTGACTGCTTCACAAAGATGACCAGATATATTCCTACTCATAAAAAGGTTAAAGCCCCTGAATTGACTGACCTGTTTTTAGATATCATCATTCATGATCACAGTGCTTTGAAATTATTGATAACAGATTGAGAATCCCTCTTCATCAGCAAATACTGGTCAGCTTTTTGCTATCATCTTATGATAAGGCATCTCCTCAGTACTGCATTTCATCCGCAGACTGATGGCCAGACTGAATGCCAGAATCAGATACTAGAACAGCATCTTCAAGTATTCTATTCATATTATCAGAATGATTGGCTTAAACATCTTCTGACTGCTGAATTCACATATAACAATGCAAAGAATGCAACTTTAAAGATATCTTCTTTCTATACTTATTATGAATATAATTCTTCATTACTCAGTGATGTCGCAGATGATGTTTCAAAGAGAGAGATAGACAGTCAGAATGTTGAACAGATACAGAGAATGAAGTATCTCTCAGTATCAGAAGTAAAAGTGAGATTGAAACTTTTGAACAAAATTTATAAGAAGATGGTGAAAAGCATCTATCATGCTCAGAAGCAGCAGATAAAATACTATAATTGAAAACATCTTTCAATGAAGTTCTTAATAGAGAATTAAGTGCTACTTTCAGCAAAGAATATCAAGACAATGAGACTGTGTAAGAAGCTCAGTGAGCAGTGGCTAGGATCTTTCCCAGTAATAAGAGTGATGAGTAAGCAGGCATATGAGTTAAAATTACTCACAGAATTGAAATCAATTCATTCTGTTTTTCACATTTTCTATTTGAAGCTCTATAAGCAATGTTCCAGAACAGAGCTGTCTCAGCTGAATGACATTAAGATCAAGAGTGATACTGAATATCTTATGAAGAAAATATTGAATAAGTGAACACATTACAGCAAGCTTCAATATCTTATTAAATAAGAAGATTATTCATCATCAGAGAATTCATGAGAATCACTTGAGCATTTGAAAAATGCTGAGAAAGAGATTGCAATCTATGAGACAGCTAGTAGAGACTACCCTGTTACATGCTAGAGATATTGAGTAAGAAACATCACTTGAGACTTCTTGTTTTTTCTAAAGGGTTTTTTAGAGATGATCTCACAGTAATGAGCTGATGTCTTATAGACTCTATAACACTCTTCTTCTATTTTCTTTCAAAGGGTTTTTAGAAGTTTAATGAGACTACACAAGTGTAAAATTCCTGAAGTGGTTAGAGAAAAGAGATATTTGAAACCAATAAAAAAGATTAATATTAATCAATTCACAGACTGCTGCTATTCTAGTGAGGCCACAGCCTGCTGAAAAAGTAAAAAGAGAGAATCTCAGAGTCTACTTATCAACAACCACACTTTCATCAAACTCATTCTTCATCATTGAAGTCTCTGACACTGATATCTTTGTCTGCTGAGAAGTTAGTGCTGTGATGCTGCAGAGAAGCATGCTACAGAAGAGTATAAGAGATGCTGAAAGTATCAACTTATCAACTTATAAAGCATCTCAGTCATCTGCTTTAACTGAAGTGAGATTCTCTTCAATCAGTAATTGATCTCTGCAGCACTTTCAACAGCAGCATCAGCTGATTTCTTCTTAAGATCAGTCATTCTGAGGTGTTTTTTCATCTCAGAGATTCACACTTTCATCTTCTTTTACAGATGAGTAAGAGAGATCTTCTCAGTCTTGACAGAATTCATCAACACTTGAAGCTTCAAGATTCTCACTCTATACTGCTTAAGTATCTAGACTTCTCATCAGAACTGATACAATGTCTTTCTGTGAGATAATACTTACAGAGAGACAGAAGTCATTGTTGCAGATGCAACAGAAATAACAGAAGTGAGAGAAGAGACAGATGCATAAAATCCTTCTCTTCTTCAGCTGCTTGACACAGCACAGACAAGTAGCAGTGCCAGCCAGAGGCCGCACCAGAGCCTCCCCACAGAGAGAAGACAAAGGAACTGCAGGACCCTGCGGACCCAACCCAGCAGCATCCCAAGCAGGGCTCAGGCATGCCGCGGGAGGGGAACTACAGATTGGGCTTCTCAGAGCCACTGTCCCTGGAATCAAGCTCTCCCCAGGTTCCTCTCTGAATGATCACACAGGGTCATACACCACTGTATTGGCTGGGGGGGGGGGCAGCGTCGCAACAGCGGTGGGGGGGGTGAGAGATGGACCAGACACAGACACACCGGCCAGCAGAAGGGATGACACCCCACTGCAGGGCACAGCAACTTCCACCACGGCTGCAAGAGAAGCAGGAGGAGATGTGGTGATGAGAGTGATGCTCCCGCAGCTCATTGACACCGCCACCTTCAACCTGGCTTTCTTGATGGTCACAGAGGCCGCCGCTGCACCACAAAGACATTTGTTATTCACTAGAAAATGTCAGAATAAGCCCTCTACTGTTCTCCAAGGATGATACTCTCATGCACTCACTATTACAGATGAAGAGGGGAAGAGAAAAATGTGTCACAGAGAGAGAGAATCTTTCAAAAAAATCCTGCCACTACTGTTAGCTTTGCCCCTAAAACACATCACTTTTGCAGGGAATTCCATACATAGAATGGAATATATTGAGAGATCTGCAAGTCACTTATTAACTACATTTTTCACATTTCAAATCAATATATAAGGAACTCACTTATCACATGTTTGGTTTGAACAATGATGAGAAAAGAAAGATCTATACAGTCAGCAGAAAAACTCATCTATTTCTTTGTATCACATGCAGCACATGCACTGTCAATCAGTTGATAACTGTTGCTATACAACAAAGATAATTCCTAATCTGATAATCTTGAGAACATAGGGACTATGCTCTTAAAGAGAAGAGCATTGTCATGCTCCTGGCTGTGCCAAGGCCTCATTGCAGTTTCACATGACTCATCACTTTCATGCAGATGATTTCATCTCATCTGAACCAGTTTTCAATCACTCTATAACATTATTCAGATGTATTATAGAAAGATCTGATTGATGAATATAAGAATCTCACTTCTATATGAGGTCAGCAGATTACTCTTCCTTAGCAATGAGACACTGCTGAGGTATCACTCCAGCTATTCTCACTCATGAAATGAGAGAAGAGTATTCACTCATTGTCTATATAGAATAGCTAGATGCTGACTCCTCATCAAAGAAGTCAGTGATTCATTTTTCTTCTACTGAAATATATATAAGAGTTACTGTGTGCCTCATACAATCTTCTTAGTATACTAAGTACCATATCTGTGATATTCTCGCAATAACCTTGTAGCCTACAAGCTCACTATTCAAGCAAGATAGTCAAGCTCACTCATATGACTTCTCAAACAACTACTCCTACGTGACGCCGCTGACTAGCCACCGCTTCGGTTCCGCCATGTTACAATTATGTCTAGAAACTCAGTTCAAGAGTGTTTATAGATAGTAAGTATTTCTTATAAAAAAATAGCTTGATTCTGTAAGAGATGCTCAAGAATATTCTTCACTGAGATTAGTTTATTTATGAGTTCAGAGAATTCTTCTATTACAGATACAGAGAATAATATTCTATGAGTAATTAATAAGTTCTCTAAGACTTCTTTTATAAAGATTATTCATGATTCAGATAACTACTTCTGAATATCTGTAGTAGAGTTTGCAGAGATTAAAGTATATAAGTTTCTAGTTCTTTCAGTTATAATAGATGATTGCTGACTGACTGAGCTTGAAATGTAAGAATAAGTGCTCACAGATAATTATTCAGATGTTTGCAGCTTGATATGATATGTACTGTTAACTACTAGAAGTATTCATAATAGAAAGATAAAATGTAGAGATTAAATATATAATAGTATTCAAGCTGAGTTATAAATAGTATTTGTGAACTCCAGTCTATATAGTTGTGTGTAGTCAAGGGCTGCTAGCTCTATTAATTACGCGAGAGATAGAAATAGAGGTACAGAATCCGCGGGGAGCGGGATTTCTTACAGAGAGCATGATTTCTTCTTCTCTTATATACACTACAGACTGTTCATCTCAGTAGAAACTTATTATCTTGTAAACTAGAGCTTGTAAATGACAGTGTTAATGTCTTTATTATAATTAGATTCTTAGTGAAGATTATATCATTCTGACTTATCAGAATTTACAGTATGAAAGTCATATCTTAGCTTCTGCAGATATCTTATCTGTTCAGATAATTCTCAAGTGAACTTATTCATCTTATCAGAATATTCTTACTACTGAATCTTGAATCAGAGCTTGTAATCTTACTTCTCTGAGTTAATAATCTCTTTAATCTGATATTCTCTTTTACTCTCTAGTGCTTTACAGACAGAGTGATGAGTCACAGAATTCTCTTCTAAGAATTTCTTATATTCATAGAGTAAAGAGATATGAAAAATATTGTATATCTACAACTCAGATAATAGTTTCAATCTATAGAACTGTAAGCTAACTTTCTTCATAATCTTATAAGACTCTGTCTGTAAGAGATTCAGCTTCTTACTAAATCTCTATATAGTAATGTTTTCTAGACTCAGTCAGACTCTATCATCTTTCTTGAAACTCTTTATAATATAGTTGAAGTCATAGTATCTCTTCTGATACTCTTAGATCTTTTTTAAGAATTTACAGACTTTCTTCTGAATCTTCTGAATTCTCTCAGTCTGTTCACAGACATCATCACACTCTATAGTATACTCTCATGAGTTTATCAAGATTATTCATGAATAAGTCTCAGTGAGTATCTCAAAGAGAGTTTTATCTGTGCTGATATACTTTAAGTTGTTATATATGAACTTAAGTAATAATCAATATACTCAGTCATTCTGATTGTAATTGACAAAGTACTGCAGATACTGTTTTAATATACTTATCAGATATTCTATCTGATCATCTATCTGTTGATGAAAAGTCATGCTTAGATCTTATAAAATCTTTAGTATAGATATCAGATCAGATCAGAACTCTTCTATGAAAATTAATTCTCTATCTAAGATAATATTTACAGATAATTCATGCAATCAGATTACATTATAGATAAAGATATAAGTTAAATTCTTTGACTTCAAGTTCTTACAGATGAGTATAAAGTGTGTTATCTTGATAAAGTAATTCACTATCATCAGCACACTGTTAAAACAGGTATTATATATGTTCTTACTTTCAGAGAGACTTACAAGAACATTCATTTCTAGCTATTCTCAAGATTCTTATGAGATGAGTAGAGAAGTAAGTTCTTTATATAATCTGAATCACACTATTCATAAATTCTGATAAATAGTATAAGAATTCACTATCTTCTTTACAAGTTCTCACATCTTCAGTCAGAAGTATTTTCTTATAAGCAACTTATAAGTTCTAGTATTTATAAAATAATCTGCTAGAGAAAAGTCATGATATCTTTTAATAAGTTCTATGTATAGAAACTCATTCACAGATATATAAATTCAGCTCTCTCTTTATAAGAGATTATTTAAGTCTTCTTAATTCTTTATTTCTGCAGAATTGATTTCTGCTGTGAGTAGTTTCTGAATATACTGAGTATATTCATTCTTCAGTTACAGTTCAAATAATCTGAATAAAAGATCTTATAAAGACTTATACTCTGTTTTCTCTTATATCAGGCCTTTCACAGTGCTTCTCAAAGCTTATAAATTCTTCAGATTATAGATACTCTCTTTAAGAATTCTCATAAAGATCTTCAGAGTGTTGACTCTCAGTGTTATAAAGAGTAGTTATACAGACTTCTTCTCTCTCTTTTCTCTCTTCTCTTATAGAGAATTGAAAGACTCTTCAGTCAATCTCTTTACAACACTTAGTCTAAGTATTCTATGAAGCTTTTCTGTCTTTTCTAACTTCTCTATATCTATCACTCTGATCTTCTTAACATAGTCTGATCTGTGAGAGAATTTATTCACTGAGTTCTTAGTTTTCTTAATATATTCTATCTTGAATCAGAACTCACTTAGTCTCTGAACTCAGTGAATCTATCATTATAAGAGTTTCTTAATTAAAGTAAACTGTTATAAGCTGTTATAATCAGTTCTAACAGTAATCACTGTTACAAGGTTCTCAAAGTAGTGACATCAGTGACAGAAGAATTCTACTATTATAAAAAGCTTCTAATTATAAATATTATAGTTGATCTTTATAAGTTGCATCATCTGTGAGAAAAAGATCACTGAAACTCAGTTTTTATTTAACTGTAGTTATAAAACTATTTCTGAAATTATAAAGAAGAAGATATCTGTCTTTAATCTGATTAAGAGTAAGAGATTAAAGTGAAATAGTATCACTGTATTCATGAATATCTGTTTCAATCTTATAAAGACTCTGTAAGCTTTTAAGATAAGAAAGTTCTCACAGTTCTCTCTTCTCAATAATCTTTTCATTCTCTATTCATAGAATAACTTCTTCTTATTTTCATTCTTCAGCATGTCTGTAAGAGTTAAGAAGATTCTTATAAATACAAAGATAAATTATCTAGAGAAATTTATAAAGCTCAGAAAGATCTGAATTTTATAAATACTAGTTAACTTCAGTTATAATAGAATAATCTCAATCTGTGAAGCTTTCATCTGAATATCATCTATAATAATTACATATTCTAGAAAATTAATTCAATAGATACTGAAGTTATACTTTGTAAGCTTAATGTACAGTTCTGTCTTATCTAAGATCTTTAACACACTTTATACATACTCAGTGTGTTCTTTCTTCTTTACAGAGTACATTATCACATTATTCAGATGTATTATCATGAAGATATTCAGATATATATAAAGTATTTTATTAATAAAAGACTGAAATGCTGCAGAGATATTAGTCAGATTAAAAGATATCACTAGATATTTAAATAATTTCAGTGCAGTTCTAAAGACAGTCTTTTATTCATTCTCAGACTGTATTTACAGTTATATATATATATTAATTATATTCAGTTGTGTAAATATAACAGCTTCTGTGAGATGATTAATTACATTTTTAATCAGAGACAGAAAGTAGTAACTCTTTATTATCTTAAAGTTCAGATTATAATAGTCTATATATAATCTGAGATCTTTATTCTTCTTCTTCATGAATATCACAGAGACTTCTGCAGAGACCTGTGAAGATCAGATAAAGTTATTCTTCAGATTCTTCTTTATATAGATCTGCAAAGCCTCTGTCTTATAATAAGAGAGCTTATAGATTGATTCTTAGAAGAGTTTCTATTCTTCTATTAAATTCATTATCAGATTCTTCTTATAGTGAGAAGAAAGCTCAGCTATCTTTACTGAGCTGAATATCTCTGTAAGATCTCAGTATTTCTCTAATATCTGAAGCTCAGTTTTCATAACTGTGAGATTCTCAGACACTTATAAAGTTATTATATAGATAAGCTTATTTTCTCTAATTAACTCTACAGTATTAACTGATTCTATCTTCATAAGTGAGTCTGTTAACACTGAT